GACGCGCTTACGTGAGGACCTGAAATATTACCTAATATCCACAAATGTTAAAACGTAATATGCTGTACAGACAAATTAGTAATTATCCAATATTTGTTTTAAAATATTACGTAGGTTTTCCAGGAAAGTGGCTAGAATTCCTATGAAATATTTGTTTTAAATCAGGTAATTAATCCGAAAGATACTATAATCAGACTTTTCAGGAAGGATCTTCTATGCAAGAAGAATAATGAAGAATTTCTTTGTAAATAATTAAATTTCTTTGTTACAGATTTTGATCTTGACATTTCTTCATCTAATTTCGTCGAAGACAGTATTCACTGCAGGCTTCAAATGTGTGACAGTAGGGAGATTTCCAAATTCAGGAAACCTCCATAAATATTATCAATGTGTATACCGCAATGGCAAATTGGAACTTGGCGACATGACGTGCCCGAATAACCTGTGCTTTGACCCCAATTCCCGATTTTGTATAAACGTTCCTTGTTAAAAAACACCTTAAGTTGCACCAACAACTGGGTCTACAACTACAGCTACTCCGACGCCTAACTCGTGCGCAGGACCTGAATTCCTTCTGCAACTCCGTCACATTATACAATTACTTCGCAGATGTTAATATACCTATCCTACCAGACAACAAAAATTATCCCTTTTTTAAAGTAGATTCACTTCATCATCCACTTTTATATATTCATTATCTAATGTTGATTTGTCATACCAGAATACACCTCTGGCTCTACCCACGTATGATTCAAATTACAAACTGAGAATTTATTTTATTATCCAATTTATATTTCTTCCCAGTTTGCTACAATATAAATAATACGTCTCTGTCAATTTGTGTAATGGAAACTTTAAAATTATAATGTACAGATATTTATAAGTTTGTAACGTAATAAATATAAAACGTTATAAAAATGGAGCTTGCTTAGAAAATTACAGTTTATATTATAATAAACTCGCTGGTGTCAGATTAATTTTTTGTTGTTGTATTTTTAAGTTAAGTTACTCCTTCTGTAACAATTTAATTCTTCAATGGGCCTGTCATTATGAAACAAGCAGATGTAATAAGAAATAGAAAAATGTTTTGTTCATCAATAAAGAGGAACACTGTTATCAAACTTGTTTATTCTTTTGATGTTTCATTATTCCTGTTTCAGTAGGGACAGTAGTTCAGGTAAATAGAATTTTTGTTGGATTTACTGTGACTGAGAACCAAAACAAATGATCTTGGTGTGGAACTAAATACATATTTCTGGAATGCGACTTTTCGGCGCCGGCACACGCGAACGTCAACATCGGAATATTGCATTTAAAGTTTTAAACCCGAAGCTCCTCTAAAAAATATTTAAGGATTTAGTCCGTACCGCAAAGGAAACACTACACTCTTATCATTTAGAAAATCAGATGATTAACACTTTGAAACCCAAAGAATTTTATTATTTATAAGCCTGTTTTTTCAAACGTACTGTCAGAGTAAATAAAGATAGCCCAAGACCACTTCCTTCTCAAGTCAATATGTAATTCTATACTCCTAACGCAGTTATTTAAGAGAGAAAGACCAGTAAATAGTAATGGAAAAAGGGCATATCAATTGAAGGAAATGCACTTCAAGAAGAAAAGAGAATATAACGAAACCTTTGATTTTACGGCAAAAAGAGAGACGTTTAATCTTAACGATTTTAAGAGTACCAACATCACAGAGAATCGTTAAATGACGTACAGTTAGATATCATGGAGAAATATACGACATTCTTGCTGTAATTATTTGTGCAGTGTAAATGATGACGTCGTGAGTTTGAAATGCGTCTGGGACGATTTAGTTGTGTTTTAAAGTGTAGAATGTTTTGTTTTTATATGCGATTTCACACTACACGGTATGCAAGGTTTTAAGAACAAAATTACGATCGCATGACAACCCGCTCATGAGTCTAGTTCACTG